GATGGGCCACCCACCCATTTACCTTTTATTTAATCCTAATCTAAAAAAAATTCAATTTAATGTCTGACGATTTAATATCATATTGTATGAATCTTGACATACCAATAATCTAGAAAGAAACCTTGAAGTTTGATATTTTAATTCTATTTGTGCGTTGTGGCCTTTTTCCTCTACGCTCCTGAAATCATTCATCGAAACTTGCTTTGACATAATACTGTTAATCAGAGTATTTTTATGTTCTGTGTCCATTTGGTATCAAATGGTACCAGTTGGTTGTGTTTTTCTCAAAACAATTTTAGTGTAAATTATTTCATTCAAATAGGCTACAAATCTGACCTGGTTTAGCATTTGCAAACTTGTCGCCAAAATTTGACAATATTTTCGAAATTAGTATCTGAAAATATAACAATGTGCATGGAAAAAAATTGAGAAATTTAAACAGTTTCTTTTGCACAGCTGGACTTTCTGAAAAACATTTTACTGAACATTTCATCGTGATATTGAATTGCTTGCATGGCAACCAATATTTTTTTCATCCAAATGTGAAAAATTAAGTTTTAATCGACTGACCGAATTCACTATTCGAATACATTTAAAAAAACTTATATTTCAAAGTATAGAATTCACTTTACATTGGAATTTTTGGAATCAATTCGTCTCCATGAAAACTTGAAAAAGCTATATTTATCGCTGGCTTTTACAACATTGTTAACCAGAGAGTTTTCACATAAAAATATCTCAATTCTCTTATTGGAATAATTTTTAAAATGTTATCGAATGTTGGCTTCGGTCATCCATTTTGTAATGCTATAATTTCTCGATTTATTCCGTGGGTTGGAGTGTTAGAGATTATTCAGTGCACAGTTAATTTTCATACTCAAGACGGAATTCTGTTGAATTGTTCAACTATTTTCAGTTTAAATATAATTTTCGGGATTTACTGCAATGTAGAACCGTAATATCTGTTCTTAGATCTATTGCGAAATAAAACTGCTCAATTGATAGGGTCTCACAAACACCGCATTTCCCATATTAAGTTACTACAAATAAATTTGTATAAATTGTGATTATTTTCCAGTTGTAATTTCAATTGAAAGTGTTTTAATTCTGGCTGCTAGTGTCTTTCATCACCCCTTTTGGTCTCCCCGTCCCCACTGTAACTACTGTATTATATATTGCATTTACTGCATATTCAGAAAAGATCTCCGATTGAAGACATGTTAATTATGAAAATTGAGTCTGTGTTTTTTCGATTGAGTCGTTGGGTAGGTATTAGGAAGCAGGCTGGGATTAAGTCAGTTGAGTGCGATGACGTAACGGTTCGCGATTCGACTGAGTTTCGTTGGCATTGCAGTTTTCGTGGTGACCGTACATTTAAACCCATGTGTATATCCGCGGGTTCAAACTATGTGCAGGTGCTGAAACCCGTAGGTTAGGGTTAGTATTCCATAGGTGCAGTAGTATGCGGGTGCAATTGTCGTGGGTTCAAATGTCCATGTTTGGAGCGATAAGGGCCGAAGAAAAAATTAACATAAAGGTGGGACGGTCGATAGTTTGATTTGAATTTCGAACAGAAGGTTACTATATGCCTTGGCCTGTCTGTTTGTCGTATTTCCATGTGATGCAAGTAGGGTCCTCTTATTTTCATAGGCAGCGCTCTCGAGGTGTATATCTATTCAATTGCGGACATGATTCTCCCTGGCACCTTAGCTTGGTTCCAAATACTTCTGGCCTCCTGCTATCTGTATATGCTCGTTTTACCGTCCGATCCTGATTAAGGGCTCGTTTGAATAGCCGCCTGTGTGAACAGAACATGAAAATAAGGGCCGGTGCTTGAATACTCGCCTGATGTAAAAGCTGATTTTTCAGTGGTAGAGAACAATGGGAAATAAAAAGCGCTTTTGTCACAACGCTGTTGAATTTTAAGCGCTGGTAGATAACACTCACGCCTTATGCGTCCAATTACATAACAGATAGCCTTGATAACCCAAACTGGGCATCTGCGACTACCAAGTGCGTCGTTTCAATATTGATAGGGCGTCGCAATTTTTACTTTAAAATAACAAGCGCCTGTGCTTGAATAAGGGCCGGTTTGAATAAGGGCCCGGTTAGTGAGTTTGGTTAAAAAAATATGGGCCCGGGCTACAAAACGAGCAAATACGGTATATAAGAATACCCAGTCATGTTTTGAAGCGTTTTTACCAGTTATTTTATGACCCATTTCAATTGTAGAAAAGCCAACAAACGTAACAAAATATAAATGCATTACATTCCAAGAAAAGGGCGTGGTTCAACATATTGCCAGGTCATCCAATCGACTTTCTTTTCCATGAAGATGAGTGTGTGAACTTAATCCTACTCAATGTTGGTTATGGATAAGTCGGGTTATTGCCCACCATTCTCTGTTAATCTTGGTAGGAAATTTGTAAGATAAGCAGATGGAGGTCGGTGAATAACCTAACATATAAGATAAACAACACAGAAAATTTAGCGTTGGGCAATGACAGTATAGTGCCCGATAAAATATTCCAATATTACAGAATATTAGCAAGCATATCGCACCGCTGACAGTGCTTTTTTTGAGTTATTATTCTGGCAGGAAATCCTGTCGACGGAATTGGAGAAATGTTTGTTTGTATTCTATCAAGTGCTCAACATAGAAAAATATCACAAGTTGAGCATCGTTTATCTATTATTCAAGCTTGGGAAATATATCCAATTGACAGACTGCGAAACGGTGAATGCACGTTCCGGCAAAGTAGGAATTTTTGGTAGTAATTACAACGTTTTTGATAGTATTTGCAACGTTTTTTGGTGGAAAAAGTGGGTTTGTTGGGAAGATATTGTTCCATGCACGATTGATGGTCGAAACCCATGTATTCAGAGGTAATTTGAATTTAATATATTAATAGACATGATATGTTCTGGGTTAGGATAGGAATTTAAATTGAGAAATGGGGAGAGTATTTAAAATAAGATTCTTGATATGTTTTGGGTCAGGATAGATGTATTACTTTGGCAAATGGTTAGAGTAAACATGTGTCAGTGTGTAATTATGGAGTCGAAATAAACTTATACAAGTGTGATTCATGGTAAGCTATGGGTTGGGGCTGTAGGGTGGAATAGAATAGCTACAGGAGTGGTGACTCAGGCAGGGGCCACGGCCCATCTAATTTGGCCACATGGGCCGTGGCCCATCAAGCTATGGGCCGCGGCCCCATCGGGAAAAATTCAATTATCTTACTAAAATTTTCAATTTTTACAATATTGTCAATATTCGAACCGAAAAAAAATCGCGAGATGCCAGCAAATTTTTTTCTTACGGTAAGCCTCTATATTTAAATTAAGCAAAATACCAAACAACAGAAAAGAATAGCCTACTCCTGTAGTATGTGTACCAGGTTAGGGTTAGGACAAAATCTTGTTCAAAATTTTTCACATTATAGTTCTATTATGAGTGTGGTGACTGACTGTGTTAGCCAAGTAAATAGTCCATTTACACAACTTGATGGGCCGTACAGGAATCACCACTTCCACTCTAGAATAGGTAGGAATAGCTATAAAGCTCCCATTCAGTGGCTAAGTATGACATGGTATTTTTTGGGTTAGGCAAAACTAGGGGTTCAGGTGTAGTTTAGTACGGTACCACATACAGACATATACTTCTAATTTGAAAAGCTATATGACGTGATTGTGACGTCGTAGTTATTTAAATTTTGGATGACGTAGTCAAGTGGGGTTAATAATAACATATGCAAAAATAATTTTGTCCAGCCCACTGGGCTTGTTGTACTATACTACGTTAAACCCAAGTTAGGATAGATATGAAAATTTAGTCACGTTTTGATTGAGTAATCATATGTTTGTGCTCTGTGTCACATGCTAGAAATTAGCTCTGTCATTGCACCTCTGACTACCCTGCATGGGTTCGCAGGTCGAATCCTGTGGGGGAAAAAATGTCCTGAGAGGATTGCTGGCCTTCCCGCCGCCGTAGGCCATATCACGTAACCGCTGAATGATTTAAACAGCACAAGGCTCAACTAAATATGGAAAGAGTACTGACAAATTGCAAGTGCCATTCATTTGCTAAATTCAGTTTGCCCGATAGAGATATCAGTGGTTGACACAAGTAGACAGTGGTCTACATCTGGGTTTCTTGAACTGGGGTTCGTGATGGCTCCACGAGGGTCCGCAACGAAATGAAAAGATTATGAAATATACATTTAATGGTGCCCCCGAAGTATGCGAACCAAGATGGCGGACATCGGAACGTAACATGGGTAACAGATTAGGGTTAGGCGATAATTTCTTTCCAATTTTCCTTATTTTAGTCCTATTATCAGTTCGAAGACTAGCCAAGAGCCTCCCGTAGTATTTATACCTAAAATTATGGCTTAACCCTAACCTAGTACACATATTACATTCCGATGTCCGCCATCTTGGTTCGCATACTTCGGGAGCCCCCATTTAATTTCATGTAGGCTATATATCCATTGTCACGTAGCGATTCGTAAACAAGATAATGTCGTAAGTTCAGGCGATCGCAAATCGTAATTGTTACGAAAGCAATGGAAGTGAAAAAATTATAGTAAAGCGATCCTTGCTTCCAGTGTCTGTGAGGTGGACCTTCATCGAAGAGCAACGAATATAAAAGTATTTATTGCACTATAGCAGTGGTTTCCAGCTTTTTATATCCTGTGGCCCCCATTCGGAGACTTTTAGCACTCATGGCCCTCCTGTTTATCACTTCAGTGGTATTTATGATGTTATTTTGATTTGGAACAATATTTCCCTGCCTCATCTGACATTCAAATTTTCTGTATTCCAGCGACCACCTTGTATATGAGCATGTCTTGAATCTTTTATTGGATTTTTATTTTCTGTATATTTTATTGTTTATATTGCCTTGTATAAATCAGAATAATTAATATTTTATCTTAATAATGTTGTTGAACTTTCTTATCAGGATTTGAAATAATATTGTTGTAAAAAAATTTATTTGTTTCTTGCTTTGTTTTAAGGAATATTGTAGATAAAACTAGTTTATACTGGTTTGAACCAGTTAAAACCAAGATAATCCAGCTGTGAATTGTCTGATTATATCTCAAGCTATCTGACAACAGTTTGTCTTGTTTATCATCCCATGCAAATTGGAGCAGACGAAACCAGTCTAATCCAGTATGAGCGAGTCAGAACCGGTTAGTCCACTTCCAGATGGTTGGATAAAGAAGGAAAGCAGATCATCAGGTAGTTATGACTCACAATTGAAGGATTTTAACTAAGCATTATTTTAGTCCAGTGGTTCTCAAACGGTGGCGCCCCCCCCCCCCCCCCCCCCCCCAATGGGGGTATGGGCAATTTTTCGAGGGGGCTCGAAGCTAATTGAAAATGGTAAAAAAATGTTAGATTTGATCTTGCCTGCCTTATTTTGGATATTTTACATTTCGAAACTTCATTCATATCAATATTTACGTTCCATCCACATATTTTCAACGTGCTTTTCAAATAAAACATACTTTTGCCTTACTATTTGTTTTTGGTAGTTTATTGTTAGCTAGTTATTTTAGAGGTGGGACATGAAATTTGACAAATTCTAAAAAGGGGGCGTGGCTCAAAAAGTTTGAGAACCACTGTCCTAGTACATTTTATTTATTTATTCAAGACATTTGAAACGTCCATATAAAATGACAAACAAAAAACAATAATTAATAATAAATAAGGGGAAGTAAATAGTACAGAAAATGCATTATATAGGATTTACATATTCATCCCGGGAGGAGAGGAAAGCCTATAAAGTGGCTTGATCACATGGCGAACCACGGCCTCTTGTCTGTTACCAGTCCATGTCGGGTATAGAATTAGTTAGCCAGTATGTAAATCCTATACCTAACGTTTACCATGCTGCGCCACACTGCTGTGTGTGCAACGTGCAGACATGCAACATATATATATATATATATATATATACAGAGAATCTGTGATTGTGCAAGTATCTTGAATTCCAATTTTTTGTCATTTTTGTCAACTTTCTTTTTGTGCTTCTCAGGGAGACATTACTATGTGAACAAATACACGAATGCGAGTCAGTGGGACAGACCAACCTCAGAAGCAGTGAAACCAGCAAGACCAGAGGTAGGAGATGATTTTTATTTTTTTCTTGAGTGAAAGGAAAGCTGATGAACCGTGTTTGGAAGCTCGAGCTATCACAAGTCAACAGTTATCTAAGATGAATATAATAAAATATAATCATAAGTTGCAAGAGTTTCCAACAAAGGAATTGAAATTTGCTGTTGTAAATATAGCTATCAATCGGAGTTATGTAAGACCATGGAATCGCTTTTCTTGTCTTTGTTGACATGCTTGTCTAGCGAGGACAAATTATTAATCATTTGTGTCAGTGGACCAGGTGAATAGCCAGGAATAATTGAAGGAGGGAGATCTGGAATTTTTATTAATTGTCGAGTTGGACCATAGCAGCTAGCGAGTCCGACTGGACGATCCTGACTTTGTCCCAGTGTTGGAATAGCTGGGCGGATGCATGAACTAGGCTAGTGAAGGGAGTCTTTCTATTAACAGTGTGATTGCTGTTTAATGAGATTGAGACCAAATTGGGAAAAATGGGTAAAGTGAGAGAAATATTAGTCCTAGTAAATCGAACGTCTCACCTAAGTAATCTGGAGAAATATTCCCCAAACTCTGTAAAGTCTGCATATGTTTAGGTGGATGCTTGCCCAGAGCCATCTTCACAAATAAGTGGTTTTAAATAACCAAAATAGCATCAGCGTTGAATGAATATTTAAAAAACGAGGGTTTTCGAAAGTCTCGGGAGGTTCAAAAAGCGTTTCAAGCTACAATAAATTGCTATGTATGATACATAATGGGGTGTACTAGGGCAGGGGTGTGCAAACTGTGGCCCGCGGGCCAAATGCGGCCCCCAAGGAAATATTGTGCGGCCCGCTGAGAAGTGCCAATTTTGAATAGTGTGCCCGCAAAAAGAATTTTTAGTTTATTTATTGTGACACGTGCGAGAAATTTTAATCACTTTACGTCGCAAAGCCAGTACTCGAGTGCCACTGTCATATTAGCAAAACTAGCTAGCAAAAACAGTTTTTGTGTCTGAAACTACTATAAACTATATCTTAAATAAAAGTACAGCCTGTGACTTCACTCAATCACTTGAATCTGGCCTTCCTGTAATAAAGGTAGCACACCCCTGTACTAGGGTATTGTGTATTGGACTGCAGGTCCTTTCTCCTTGTTTACTTTCTATTCCGGATCCGTATGTGGCTGTTGCCACAAGGATGTGTGACTGAGATAGTATTATGAAGATAAATAAAAATAACATAATCTCTTTCCACGAAATATTAGGTATATTATATAGTATATAGCGCTATCGCTATTTGATTAAGCCATATCTTGTTTTATCTGAAGAAGTTAGACTATAATCTAACGTAAGCTCACAAATATACTTGATATTTCGTGGAAAGAGATTATGTTATTTTTATGATACATAAAATTGCTTTTTTTATATTTCATTTGGGGGTCAGACCCTCAAAAACCCCTGTAGTGGCAGCAAGACCCCTTAATCACAAAGAATAGTCCTCTGTTTATGACATGAAACTCAGAAGGAATATTTTATTCCTTTTGATATATATAAGTTAGTATATTTTTGTTTTGTAATTTGTAATATCAGGCAGTGAAATTTGAAATGACCTAATTTGACTAATTTCAGATACTGTAGAACATAATATGCAATTTGATGTAAATTTAATTCATAAAACCATTTCCCATTTAGTTTGATCTTTCTGAATATACTGTTGTGATTTGAATATGTTGTTCATTGAGCAAGTTGGCTGCTACAAATGTACAAATCTTTGTGCACAGTGAAAGTAAATGTACAGTGCCGTATTTCTCAACCTTTGGTTCATCACCCAAAACCGTCCTGAGTTATTTCATTTAGATGGGGGCTTGCCAAGTTGGGTGTAGTAACCCCATAGAGGGTGCGCAGGGAATTTTAGGGTACGCAAAGCCCCAATGGTTGAATGGTATGTTTTATCTTCAGGAAGTAATTAAAAAATAATAGAAATTTGTTATGCAAATTCAACGTTACTCAAATTTCATGAGACCATATGGTTAAAAAGCTTTCTTCTTATTAGGCTCTGTCAAGTATGAAATATAAATAGACTATAGTACAATAGCTTGCCAAGTTTGGGAGAGATCATAGACCAGATTTTACTCACTGGTGCAGCCAGGGATGGTGAAAACCAAATAAATGCTTTTTCTAGACACTTATCGTATTTATTCGAGTATAAATCGAAAAATTCTTTACTGATTTTCGATTAAAAACTAAGAGGGTGTGTTATAACGGAGTAAATAGCAATGCATTTGGGAATTGTGTTCATACTCGCCGTTTGCTTTACCAGTTACTATGTGTTGTCATCGTGTCGATAAATTTTTTGTCATAGCCGCATATTTTCAACAGCAGAGCTGAGAAAAACATTTTATACCCGCCTGATGCTGCCACAACCAAACTAAAACCAAATTTTGATCCTTTAGCTGAATCAATAGCTTCGAGGAATTTGTTGAGATTGCGAATAAATTTAGTTCTGGCACGAGGTTTATTATTTTCCAATTTTGCTTTTGTATGCTGTAAATATTGTTCATAAAACTTTTTAGGTCACACCTACATGGCCCACCAGTCTAGGTGGCAAAATTTTTGGCCCCTCGTCCTGATTTTTGGCCCCTCCCTGATTTAGACTTCTTGCGCAATTTGTTTTCTTCGCAAAAGGCCTTGCAATAGTTGGGGTCGGTCCTAGGAATATTTCATGGCTTTGAGAGAAGGGATTGCTGGACGTGTTCTTGGATGAATTTTTTTTCTACAAAAAACTACTCTTGATATTTGTCTCGATTAATGCAAAGCCATCTTGCTTTTGAAACATAATTGCTGAACAGCTGGCTTTTGATTTTCAAATTTCAATTTTATTTTTGTGCGGTCAGGAACGGTCCATTGATAAAAAGATATAAAACTCATAGCACAGTCAAATTGCTGACTCGTGTGGCCTATTCACTCCAAAGACAGGAAGTGTTCGCTTCCTGCTTTCGCTCTCTTTAATCCAATTATATGAAACCATGTGTTCAGCCATATGATTGTGTGTGTGTAATGTCTGTAATACAATGCAATAGACCTCATATCAGTGATTTCAAACGGGGGGGGGGGGGGGGGGGGGGGGGGGGGGGGGGGTTTAGCCCACCATGTGGGCCACTGGGCAATTGGAGGGAGTACACCATGCCAGGCGCGAAACTGATTTTACTTTTCCCGTTACTAGAAAACGTCCTGTTAAAAGTGTTTTCACTTTTAATCGTAGGCACTTGCTTTAAGCAGAATTGTGCATATTTATAATATATTCTACATTCAGTTTTACCATTTCTTTAAGCATTTAATGTTTAAAACACAAAACAGAAAGATGTTGCTCATCTCTCTCCTTTTAAGCCTCCTACTTACTTATATAAAGTAGAATCTATATATCGGCACCCACGTAAATAAAAACAGAGTGGCATCCTGTGCCGTCTCAAAATAGCCTAAGAGCTGTGATTCGTGGGTTTCCTATTTCCTAGTTTCGTAATTTTAACATAAACTCAGTGTATAAGTAAGTGCTGTCGAATAAGTTATTGCAAAAATTTGAGAACGTTTTTATTAGTTGTTCTTTCTGTACACTTTTATTCTTAACTAGGCTCGGTTCATGCAAGGCACTGATACACGGGGGGGGGTTCTAGGAAAATTCTCTGTAGGAAATTCCATCATATAGAAAAAATCGCCACAAGAGCATTTTGCTGTGAAACAAGTATTTACCATGAAAACAGTCAGGTTTTTGAAGTAACTTTTTATTTAAAGAAGATTCGTTATTTAAGACCTCAACGTTAACCCTGTAAACATAACTTTTTTTTATCACAATTACTTGTTTAGTTGTTTTACATCAAAATGCTCTTGCGCAAAATTTTTCCATCTGCAGAATGTTCCAGACACAACACAGGGCAAATTTTTCTGAAGCCCGGGACGGTTTCTGATAATGATGCCCCTTATACCTAACTTCAAAAATAATTCGGGGGTAAACAAATTATAGATGTTGTCATACATTAATGATACCCATTATACCTAACTTCAAAAAACGAGAATATCAGTCGGAGACCGAAGACTTATTGATCGAAACTGCGGTTTCGATTCATGACTCTATAGTGACACCGCGTGTCTCATCAATAATTAATTAATAACCCGCTAATTATACGACATAATCCATTCAAAAACAATAGGCTTCTGGTCCAAGATATGATGAATGCACATGCAAAATTTGAAGCAGATTCAACCACGCCTTCGTGAGATATCGCGTGCATCTAACAGACAGACAAACAGACAAATACCTATCATCATACTTACCGATCTAAAGATCGATGAGTAATAATTCGGTGGTAAACAAATTATAGATGTTGTCATACATTAATGATGCCCATTATACCTAGGTAACTTCAGAAATAATTTTGGGAATAAACAAATTATACATGTTGATAGTCATGTGAATGAATAAATTAAAGGTTAAGTAAGAATGAAATGTCTGTATGTTTATTTAAATCATCAAACAAAGCAATGAACTCACCCCTATAAAGGGGCAGTCACCCCTATTGCCTCTTAGACACGCCCTGCTAATACACAAAAACATACTTTTTATGGAACCGGCATTTAAATTCTGAATACAATTGCAAAGTATAACAATATATATTCTCTGTGGCCAATTTATATTCGAAAATGTTTTTTCAGGACGTATTGGGAAAGTAAATTATTTGGGTTTGGCGATTGGTAAATATTGTGCGATTATGTAATGAACGTGGTACAATTCAAAACATATTCCTCTACTCAAAAATATTCTTTTTTCAGTATTTATTTGAAATAGTTAATTATTTGAATTTTGCTATTACTGGTTTTGAATAAACTGTTGCCTATGGTCCAGTCTCAAATGTTTGAAAATATATTTCCATAATGTATTAGTAATATTAAATTATTAAGGTATAACTTATAAGACATCGGTATTCCCTAGTGTATAAGATGCCATCCCTAACATTACTGAATAAATGGGAACAAT